TCACTACTCCAGTGGTCAACGTGGTTCTCATTTTATTTGCCGCATCCACAATCCTTTCTCGTAAGTCTTCCACAGACGAAACTGGATTCGGCTCGCTGTACACAAGACTTTTCATGCACCCCCACACATGAAAATCCATGGGGGTTAGGTCCGGACTTCTTGCTGGCCATGGCAACGGCCCACCTCGTCCTATCCATTTGTTTGGATAATTTGTGTCCAGCCAGTCCCTGACACTTCTCCTGAAATGGGCAGGGCAGCCATCGTGTTGGAACCACATGTCCCTGATCAGTATGAGTGGCAGATCATCTAGCAAATCACTCAAGTCTGCTCTCAGGAAATTTTCGTAGCTTTCCCCATTTAGATTATCCGGGAGAAAGTAAGGTCCAATCAAATGATTGGAGATAATGCCCATCCACACATTCACGCTGAATCTTCGTTGGGACCCCTTCACTCTTTTCTTATTGGAATTCCTTAGTTCTTTTGGGGCCCAGTAATGGGCGTTGTGATAGTTAGTTATGCCATCTTTATCAAATTTGGACTCATCCGTCCACAAGATATTTCTTAGAAAATCTGGGTCTTCTACGTCAGCATTTAGCATAAATCTGCAAAAGTCCAATCTTCTCGCGGGGTCTCCTTCTTCAATAACGTGTACCGGCGTGTAATGGTACGGGTATAGGCCAGCAGTATGCACTGTAAACCACACTCTCCATTGCGAAAGTCCCAGATCACGGGCAACAATATTAGTTTAAGTAGTCGGATCCGCTCGAAAGCGTTGCACTATCTCATTGTCCTGTTCTTCGTCGTCAATTCTTGGTCTTCCCATGTCTGTATTTCGTCTCAAAACAGAGCCAGTTTCTCGAAGTCTTCGATAAACTCTGTCAAAAACGGCCACATCCGGCACTCGACGACCAGGGTAGCGAGTTATGTATTCGTTGCGAGCTTGCGCAGACACACAATCGCAGTATCCGTAACAAATAAGCATATCAGCATATTCCTCAGGTGTGTAGGACGTCATCTTCAACACTTCCGTATCACAGGTACAAATCAGAGTCCGGTTAACAAGCACAGTAGTCACAAATCAGAAGAAATAGTCCAGAATCACAGCCAAGTCGAGAAAAAGAGCAAAACGATATCACATCTACTATGTACGAAGCACAAAAGCAGACTGACAACTAGTGACAACCAAACAATGCCCCCTGTTGTATTCCCAGCCCTAACCGGTCTCTACACATTTTTTCTTTCATTCGCACCTACATAAATCGTCACCGGACCGTTAGAACTGTTACCTGGAGCGTCCCAACTACTTTTTTTCCACGAAATGTAATACAAACCCTAGATTGTTATACCTCGTTAGATAGCTGATGAAACGTAGATATTTTAAAAAACATCTGCCGAACAATTACCATAATATTGTTTTTAGATATCCGTTAGAGAAAAATAATTTTCTAATATTTTTTTTTATTTCTTTACTTTCACTTGTCTACTACGATCTATTCAATTAACTTATGTTAACTTATGAACTATTTTAATGACTGACGTCCTAAAGCATCTTATTACACATGTAAAAATGCAAAAATAATAATAATAAGATACACAAAATAAACAAAAATAAATGTAGTAGCCTAAAAATCAGCAAATTTCAATAAAAAAATTAAAAGACGATTATCTCGAAAAGGGTTAAGTTTAGGGTAGGGTGTTTCATAGTGAAATATGTCAGAAATGATGGGTACTCCACGCCCTTAACGGATCTAGCACGACTTTTCTTGTAACCCTGTATAATTTTAATTTAAAGAAACCGATTTGGCGACTTGCCAGCGTGCACAGAAATTTCTTATTCTTCCTACATTAGTTCAACGACTCTCTTCCACTCAGATTTCTAGTTAGACGAAAAATATATTTCAAGGGCAATGCAATTGATGTGGTATGACGTATAATAATATTTATTTTATATCCATGAGTACGCGTTGGCTGTAATTTCAATACGCTATGTAAAATACATACGTTGTACTGTACAAGGACGTTGAAGAGTATAAAACAAAACAGTAAACCATAGCTTAACCATACGGATTTTAAACAACTTCTATTGTGACGATTCGAATCTATTATCCTGATATATTATGTGTAAAACTTAACCCTTTGACCGCCACATCAATAGCGACAAACTGTGCTCTCTACGCCAAGCAACAAATTCCTTGTTTTATACTTACAAAATAATAGTGCCTAGCTAAAGTATATCGATAAATTATCGATACATTTTACTTGTGCATGGTTTACGAATGAAAAATGCTAATACCATTAAGTTTTACTTAATTTCAGCCATATTTCATCTCACTTCTCAGCCAAACAATTATTTCACCGAAGCAACAGCTTCAGATAAGAGCAGAATTTAAAAAAAAGAAAAATTTTTTTTCCTGATAATCACTATCTATTCAGATTCAAATGTCAACATTAACATCATTGCAGATGCAAACACTTATTGCATATATAATAATTCATGTCTCGAGCATATATTCATACCATATATTTTTTTTCTACCGTTAGATCCCAACACCAACTAACAATGATGAAATTATTTTTCATTCGTTATTAGTCACAGCACTAGTTGACGCTTTAAGCCGTCAATGGCGATCAGGGTGTATTTTTTTAATCATTTCATTTTTAAATATTACGTGCCCAATTAGACTACGAGTATACCTCATTGCTTAAATGCATGATTATGGTAGTCGAAATCAGAATGACCTCTTATAAATGTTCCTGATTCTGCACATTAGCCAAGAGTTATTCGTCCGTAAAAAATGAAGTGCGGTGGAGGCTTTAAGACGTAATTGGTGTCTTGATCAAGTTATTGAATGCGTCGTTGGTGTAAAGATGCTATTAATATTAGTTGCTACTTGCTATATATATAGACTGCAATACCCTTTTATAGTAGGTTTAAATAAACAAGCTAAAAGTATGAAATTGGTAAAACTTATTTATGGGCCGGCTTTTGTCTATATTAAAAAACTGGCCCGGTAAGTGTAGGGCCACGTATTCGTTACGTCGCTGATTGCTAGACCTTTGAAACAAAACAACTTTATCAGTTGCCTGTCTGTTACTATTAGACTTAACAGAGCTAACTTTGTATTTATGATTGTGAAACATAATGATGATCAGTGAAATCTGTAGCATCCATTTCGGTAGGTATATATCGTGCTGACAGAGTTTACTTTACAGATTTACTTTCTTCTGAATGCTATGCGATATCTCTTATATTGTAAACACTCGTAAATCATTCATGTCTAAACATGTCGACTAGTGAAAGACGTAAACAACAGGAATATCCTTCTTAAAAAAGTTAAACCGACTTTAAACAATACTAACAAAGAGCACTAAAAACCTAGCAGCAATCGTTGTTGATTTGCTGTCATTTTTTGAAGAGTTCCGTTGTCTGTCTCCGAAACTTATCATCGGATCTATATGAAATTTAAATGGGACCATTTCGGAATAAACCCCTTTCGAAGAAAAAAAGATTTTGAAAATCCCGTTTATAAATGACGGAGTTATGGACGAACATAAATAAAAAACTACATATATAAACATCCGAATTGATAACCTCCTCCTTTTATAAGTCGGTTAAAAAAGAGTTGTTTATGATTAATAATGGCGATTAAATTGCAACTCACATACTTATCCAATAAGTATTGACATGGCGTTCATATACATTACATACATTGGCATACACACACATCGATGTCAAGAGTTCATACACTATTGGCATCATTGCGTGCTTACACACAACGTTAATTAATGTTATCAACGATAGTTCGCTGAATTGAGTGTGCTAACATATATATGTGGGTAAAGATTCATTTTTCCTGCTGTTGACGGGTGCCCGTCTTCAAATTTCTTAGAACAACTTGTTTCCCACGTACTCAAATCGATTTGAAGTTGATTTCTAGGTAGATTATTGTGTAATTGTAGTTACTGCCCCATAAATAAAAAGTTAACAGTTTAACAGTATAAATTCATAGGTACATACTCTACTTGACCGTTTTATTCCTAGGGCGACAACGTTTTCATGTTGATATCTGGCGAACCTCACTCTAGTCGCATAATATGATAACATCTGACATTTTAGCACCGCGAGCGCTCATTGGTCAAATCAAATAGCACGCGCTTTACCGACTTCCTGTTACACATCATACACATTACACATCCAATCATTTCTACAGACGCATCCATGACAATATAGATACATATTTTCAAATCAATAGATGTAAGATTAGGAGGAAACAATAGATTATAGCATCTATTCTGACATCGGTACCTACTTACTACTTATCAATCAATTTATATCGACAGCTTATGTAAAAGCTGAGCAGATATTATAATTATAATCTTCACATATAATAGAATAAAGTTGCTTTTTTTTGTTGTACGCTAAGGTCTTTTAAACTGAACAACATATTTTAATCCAATTAAATACGTTAGATACGTTGTACATTTAATGTAGATTAAAATTTTTCTTTATTGCATCTCATTGAAATGAATATTTTAGAAGATATTAGTTATAGGGCGGTCGCGGGTGACAGCGGCCGGCAGGATAGGAGCGGGCCTATAAATATTGCATTTTAAGATATCTAGTATAGTCCTATCATAATAATAGTAATTACTCCACATTAACACAACATTAGTAGTATCTACATTGCACCCGTGCGACGCCGGGGCTGATCGCTGGTAAATAATAATAACTTCACACATCTCACACACAGCAGTCGATCCGAAACTAGGCAGAGCATGTACTATGGTAATCAGCCTGCTGATAAACATTTCTTAATATATACATATTATAGATAAATTACACCCAGACACAACAAATGATTATGCTCATCACACAATACTTGTCCTGGGTGTGAATCGAACCCACGACCCCCGGCTTAACTGTCAGGGTCACTAGCCACTAGTGACTAGACCATAGGACCCATATTATGATAACTTTATCTTATATTTCGTTTTACCAGGATCTTGTGTCAGACTTGAAGAGTGAAACCAGCGGCAAGTTTTGAGGATCTTTTGGTTGCACTCATGACACCACTACCGCAGTTCTATGCTAAAGAACTTCACGATGCTATTGCGGGAATAGGCACGGACGAGGACGTGCTCATTGAAGTTATGTGCACGATGTCTAATCATGAGATCAACGTCATCAAGCAGGCGTATACTGCAAGTAAGTGCAATTTGATTCTTCTTCAACTTTCATACAAACATTTCGCGCCACACCATAGTCGTTTGTATAAAAATAATAATAACTTCACACATCTCACACACGGCAATCTGCTCCAAAATTAGACAGAACCTGTGCTATGGTAACCAGACTGCTGATAAAAATATTTAAATATTTCTAAATACATACATATTAGTGCTAATTCTGTTGTTCAAAAACTCTAAACTAAACTAAAAATCACTAAAAATTTGTTTAGTCCTGTTAAAAAACGTTTCGTTATCTAAAAAAAAAGTAGTTGACTGGACTAAACAAATTTTTAGTTATTTTTAGTTTAGTTTAGAGAGTTTTCAAACAACAGAATTAGCACCATTATAGATAAATTACACCCAGACACGGAACTAATGATCGTGCTCATCACACAATTATTTGTCCTGGGTGGGTATCGAACCTACGATCTCCGATTTAGCAATAAGGGCCATAAACCACTAGACCAACAGGACAATCAAAAGTTTGCTTTTCCCAAAAGAAGTCTAAGACTAAATAAAAAGTAACCTTTTTGGAAGTAAAAAACATAGGAAGAAAGAAAAATTTTTTGGGAAAATGTTAAGAAGTAAAAATGGATCATTAAATATTTTATCTTTGTTTTTATTAATATATTTCGTATGATATTAATATCGGCTCAAAATAGATTTAGACCTGTATTTTAAAGGGTGTCTCAGTCGTGAATCTAGTCTTAAAACTAATTTTTAGTAGAGATTTTATTATTGAACGTCACTAAAAACGAGATGCACCGATCCGTACTCAAGTGAGTGATAGCTTATTTTAGAACGACGTTTATGTCGAAATCTTTACTCAGCTATAGATTTCAGCTGTGATCTTTGCGTAAGACAAGCTGAAACTAGTCTCAAGCGGTGATTTCTAGCGCGTTTTAGGGGAAATGAATGTGTTATACGATGATTTGTTTCTGAATAATTACGAAAGTTTTACTTTACTTTATTTCCGTAAGAATCACTTGTCACGCTGTATAATCAATTCACTTTAATTTACCTTAATTGCTATTAAATTCACTGAAATTCACATTTTACACACACAATACTTGTTGAAATTAAAATCACCACAACCTTTTGGTTTATGTTAAAAGTATAATATTATTCTAGTTATATAAATTTTAGAAATATTAAACATTGTTTGACATTTCAACATGACATGTGTTGATAAATAACTCGAACGTTCCATTATAGCCTATATCTAGTCATTTTCATTTTAATATTTACTATATTTAATTTTGGACGAACAACAAGCTTGTTAATATGTAAACATTGCTACACTAGCCAATAGCATACTATATACAAATTCACAGAAGTTATGTTTGTAAAAGAAAATTATTTTTTAAATAATCAGCTGCGTAATGCGGTACAATAATGTCAATCATGCGGCAACGTAATAGGCTTGTGTCCATTAAGAATAAATATAATGGATAGGGGTTTATAAGGATTAATTATATTATGGAGAAAATAACAAACAATTTTAATTATTAAAAGCGTTAAAGATTAATAATATTTTTTAAAAATAAATTTCGTAAAATGAAACCTTTAGTCACGTGACAGTGAACACCAATCAGAAAGCGTTACGTCACGCCGTGCGAAACTCCAATCTTGTCTTTGACGTTTCGAGTATCACTACCTGTTCTTGATAAAATTTTGGTTTTTAACAATTAATATCAAGTTGATACAGTTTTTGATAATTATAATTTGAAAGAATTAACCACTTGGAGTACAACTTTCTTTTGAGTCATTCAGACACTCTTCTATTATCATCTTTCTTTGTTTTTTTAGAATATATGGCCGTTCTGTACTGCTGCATGTTCGTTTTCTTCTGTCTTCTTGACATCCAAATTTACTTGGCATACAACCTGGTTTCATGCTCACTTGTGATACTGTTCCCTTCATATGAACCTCCATATAATTAATCATATCATTTGGCAACTAGAATAATAAAAAGAGTATTTTTGTAACATTAATTAGAAAACTAAAATAAAACGTTCACTCCTAAAAGTGAAACAACTTAACCTGAACTCATGTATTTATTATTTAGAAAATAGGGATTCTACAAAACACATCTAGTTTGCTCGAATTAAGTAATAGATTGTATTGTGTGAAATACTTACATCAAAATGATCTTCACAAAAATACATTCTTGAACCTGTTGATAAAGTATGAGCATCATCTCTTCTTGCAAGTTTTAGTCACTTTTTCCGTATTTTTCCATTGTTTGGAACATATATAAATAACTTGTTTGGCGTTTTTATAGTCGTGCTATCACACTGGGGCACTATACAGTACTTATAATATGAGAAATTCATTTTTAAACGATAAAAACCAGCTATAACGTACGAAGACACGATCGCTCTTTGGTTTGTTTCGCACGGCGTGACGTCATTCAAGACGCCATGACAGTCTTGTGCGTTTTGGAACCAAATTGAAATTGGTTTTTTAAAACGCGAAATTTATAATTTAAACGCTCGATTAAAAATAAATAAACCTTTTATTTCGATAAAATGCCTAATAAGCTAAAATATTAGGCAGTTATTGAAATTTTGTCAACTAGCCTATTGAGAACAGACAAGTTTAAATGAATACTTGAAACTAGTTTCAACTGAGTAAAACTTAAAACGCGTTCTATAATAAGATCGATACTTGGGTTTCGATCTGTACTTAAAACTAGTTTTAGGCAATCAGAGTTCAACCGATACTTGTTTTTTAAAATACGGGCCGTATCTGTGACCTTCTCTAGAATGCCTCAGCTTCTTTAATGGCACGAAGGTTACAACAAGTTTTTACGTTCGTTGACTTATTAGGTCGCTGTTGCTATTCTAAGATCTGGTATAAAAATGTATAGCTCTATATTATTTGACGATGACAAAGAATCTAAGTTATATACATTGAAAAATCGCAAGTAAGTTGTCTAGCTGCATCGCGTATCGCTGATATTAAATAAGATAAATTGGGATCAAGTTTGTTTATTCATAAAATGCTTAATATCTATGTGATTGAACGTTGGAACCTGATGTGATACATCGCTGATCTCACCCATTATGGACTAAATGATAAGAGCATAGTAAATATTGTCACTGTCAGTGCTTTGTACTTATCTACTTAATAACACTAACAGAGAATAAAGGCAACTACTAATAAAAAAGATACGATCCATACTAATATTATAAATGCGAAAGTGTGTCTGTCTGTCTGTCACCTCTTCACGCTTAAACCGCTGAACCGATTTAGATGTAATTTGGTATAAAGATAGTCCGAGTCCCGGGAAAGTACATAGGATAGTTAATAAAGCCCTTTTCTTCCGAATTCGCTACAGATTTGACAATACATATTTCCGAGTTCTATTTGTTATATTATGTCTCGCAATTCGGTGCGCCTCTTGGCATAGGCCTCCTCCAGCTCTCTCCACTGAGCTCTATCCTCTGCTACTCTATTCCAGTAAGGTCCCAAAGTTAGGCGGATATCGTCCATCCATCTAGTTTTCGGACGCCCCTTTCTTCTACAGTCCCCTCTTGGGTACCATAAGGTGACTTGTTTGCTCCATTTATTTATTTTGGAACGTAGCATATGTCCTGTCCAACCCCATTTTAAATGATCTATGCGAGTTATAATATCTGCAACTTTAGTTTTTCTTCTTATTTCAGAAATTCTAATTCTATCACTAAGTCTGAGTCCCAACATGCTCCTTTCCATTGCCCTTTGTGCACTAGCCAGATTTTCCCTTTGCTTGTCTGTTATCGCCCATGATTCGCAGCCGTATGTCATTCAACACCTGCATCCTCCCATAGGATAGTTATTATCCCAGAAATCATACTTTAATTGGGTGAAAAGTGGGATGGAAGTTTGTATGGGGAATGAGAATCGCTGAACCGATTTAGATGTGATTTGGTATAAAGATAGTCCGAGTCCCGGGAAAGTACATAGGATAGTTATTATCCCAGAAATCATACTTTAATTGGGTGAAAAGTGGGGTGGAAGTTTGTATGGGGAATGAGAATCGCTGAACCGATTTAGATGTAATTTGGTATGGACATACTTTGATTCTTGAGGAAAGATATTGACTTAGTTTTTGCCGCGCTAACCGACGTTTACGCGGGCGGAGCCGCGGGCAAAAGCCAATGGTATATTATATATACATATTTGTGTCTTACTCCGAACTGAAATAAATATATGAACAGATTAACTGTATTTTGAACATAATGTAAAGTATTTATTATCAATACCATAATGAAAACAAAACTGACAGAATAGAATAAAATAGAAACAATTTTAGAAGCGTACGCAAACCAACTCAACATTTTATATGTATAGATAGATATTTTCATGAACAAACTACTTAAAAATGTGCCTTCGTAAATAGAGATCTCGTTTTATTACGTCTTAAGGCTCAAGATGCTACAATATTATACAGACATACATATAATTTATCTACTTGCCGATTCTTGGACCTATTCCAAATATCGAACGGAACGCCCCATTTCGTGACGACAACAGTGATGACACAGACCGAACAAAACAACGGTTTTTGCAAACGTGATATTATGCGAAAAAATTGTCTTGTCACGTTATTAGATGTAACTTTGAAGGGTAGCTGATCCATCATAAAAGGTCGGTTAGGCATGACGTTCAACTATATCCGTCGTCTATCACTATGCCATTAATCTGTTATTTCGGCTTCGCCCTCCGGTTTTAGCTATTATACTGTATAAATTTTACCCTAATTTCATTCTAGATGAAATTGCTTTCGATTGGTGAAAGGATTATACAAATAAGTAAATAATAGTAAAAAAATTGCGTGAGGGGTATATGGACCCCGGTCGGAAAGAAGTTCCGCAAGAAGTGTCGGAAAATCTCGCTCCCAACTTCGTTCCAATAAAATAAGTTTTTTATTTATTTAAAACTGCATGATACTGTTCCTCGAATTTAATAGATGGAGGCCGAATATAGCGTTTTTTATAACAATTAGTGCGTATGAGCAACCATGCAGATCTGAGGTCGACTGCGGCGCGTGACTACATAATTTTCACAGAACATTATAAAAATTAATTGTCAGCTCTTATCTACACATAACAAACTACTAGATTAAAAATCACTACATATGTTTTACGTCTATACTATGTACATATAACGCAATATAAAGATATAATACTATCTACAAACAAGCGTATCAATCAATTTAATTAACGACATCAATCAATTGTATTTGTCATGAGATAATTACATTTATCTAACTATCTTAATTTCAGTGTATGGGAATCTCCTCGAGGACGACCTACGCAGTGACACATCGGGGAACTTCAAGAGGCTGATGACGTCATTGTCTATGGTACGTCACAGTGTTGATTCATAAACGCGATAATATTGTGACTAAAAGATCTGGGAAAATCCGTGCGTGTATTCTTCATTCTATTTATATATAGTAGAGAATAATTATGTTCCTGCGCTATTAACCCGATTTCAAACTACTGAAGTCTCAGCTGCATTTCCCCTACCTTTTTAATTTATAATAGGCAAACAAGCAGACCTGAGGGTCAGTAACTACCGCCGCTCAAGGACACCTACAACTCGAGATTGACAAGTGCGATGTCGCCCTTTCAGTACCTCCCCAGAATTTCTTGGTGACAAACAAAAGCACTCATTAACACCGGTTTTCTGTAAGGCGATTAGTTCGGCCGAGCCGGCCCATTGATGCTGAATCATGGCTCTCCCGTTTCCGTTTCCGTTTTCCTCGCCCTTATTTTATTTTTTTAGGTATAAAAACGACATTTGTTAGTATATTCTTTCAAATTGTATTTCCAGTTTAGTGAACCGTAAATGAAACAGAATAAAAAAAATCCAAACATGGTTAGCCTAAACCTTTCTTTTTCCCGCGCTATTCTATTACCCCACTTGTTCCATCATTTAAAAGGACTGTTCTAGGTGCCAAGTTCCCATGACCACGGTCGTGTAAATCAATATTAACCATTCTGTATAGTGATAAAATCGATTTTCACTTGGACTCTTGCAAAAGTTAAATCAATACTGTTGAACATTACCTGATTATACATAAAGTATCTGTTAATAGGTTAAACTGACTACAATTGTATTTTTTTAAATATCTACATTTATTAGTCACATTATATAAGCTTAATGTCAGTATTTTTTTTAATATTTTAAATGCGGTGGTTGACCTTTAAGTAATTAAAATACATTGTCTTGCGAGTGCCTGTCTGTCACCTCTTCACTTAATTTAGATGAAATTTGGTATATCGATAGTTTGAGTCCCGGGAAAGGACATAGAATAGTTTTTATCCCAGAAACCACCCTTTAAAAGATGCTGCTTAACCGATTTTAATGAAATTTGGCATGGAGGGACTTTGACATTGACTTTCTTTAGGAAAGACAAAGGCTACCGGCCGGCAGACATCTTTACTACGATAACCGACAAACACGCGGGCGGAGCTATAAGTTTATTAGGGATGGAATAAAATCACAATCACATGTGACAAATCATATGATTTAAAAATAATATCATCACTTCGGTGACCGATTTAGAAAACCATTGCCACTTAATTATTATTATTACGCTAGTGAATGGTCTATTCCTTTAGGCTATCTTCGATAAAAATAATTTTGATTGATTTTAATGCCATTTATAAAGATATGTGATCATGTTTCGTCATGTGCAATCGCTATCGTCAATCGTCGGTGAAATGATTGGTATTAGTAACGGCAATCGTGACTAATACCAATCATTTTACCAAATGAATATGATTTAAAGGTAGCAGTAATTGCCATAATTGTCTAAAATTTATGTACCGTATTGAGAGAGCAAGCTTTGGTTCGTAGACTATAGCAAATGATCTATACATTATATGCAGGCGCATGCTATGTATAGCTAATGTAGTGTAAACTTGTTTTAAAATAGCTTTGTACCTACATCATTAATGTTATGTAAAGCGATTCAAACAGGTTATTTTCCTGTTTAATAAAACATGAGTGTGCTGTTTTAAGGAATACTAAATACGAATATTGAAATATGAATTTGAATATAGCATAAAGTTATTTTACTACAAATAGCATCGTTTCAAATCATATTGCATCGAGAAACATTGCTTTTATTTAGCAAATTGGATGCGTATTTGTTATATCAGTGTTTTATGATATTCCATAGGATCTCAAAGTAGAAGGGAATTATGTTTTCATACAATTTTGTATGAAAACACTTAACACAAGATTTTAAAAAAGGACGTAGTAATTGTTTTAGAAATTGGTCTTCAGTATGGACTAAATTTGTTATTTTTTACTTTTAGGGCAACAGATCTGAGGAATTCCACGTGGACCAGGAGAGGGCCAGGGAAGATGCCAGGAGTTTGTTACAAGCCGGTATGTAATAGTCCGTATTCGATATTATAGTGAAAAAAATTAAAATATTCATTAGTAAGTCTCAAATTATGATTCACAAGTTTAGTAGGTGTACAATGTTAACCAGTCTATACAATGACAGCTCAGCTTTAATTGGAAATGCTGTTAATGTAGAATATATTTAAAATTAAATAAATTACGGTTGATTTTAGACCACAAGTAAGTGTGCATATTTAGTTTTTTTTTTACTTTTTCAATTAATATTATAGGTAACAAAATAAATAAAGGAGTGTAGTAGTTTTGCTACTACTTAATGACCTTGAAAAAGATAAACGAATGGATTCAGTACAGTAGTAATTCGAACGCTGAGATTACCTACCATAATTTGGTCAGAATCTAAATTTAAATGCTTGACTCATACACATGTAGTTAGTATCAAATAATGACCTCGTTCATTGATCTCGTTTGTAATATTTAATCACAGCGATATTAGTAATAAATCAGTTATCATAAGTAATAATTGTGTGTGAGGGACACACCTGTCTAACACTAAACCAGCCAGAGTCTGTACTTTGCTAACCAGGCTGCTAATAAACACACTAAAATACCAAGGTTTCACACAAAACAGGTGTTAAGTATTTAATTTTTCGTTACTTTTTTACCGAGTAGGGGAATGTAACGTAAGAGGGGCGGGGGAGGTGGGGGGGGGGGGGGGGCTCAAAGTGCGACAAGGTACTTGTGACTCTTGAGATACCGATGTTCACGGTAGTCACTCAAAATCAGGTGACAAGTCAGGTGACAGGTCAGGTGACTTTGTAACCTATGCCATGAAAAAATAAGTCCAATACTTCAAGTGGTTAGAAAGGTGGTTCTGGCCTACTACACCACAAGAAAAGTTGGTATAATGTTTGGGTCAAGTTATCCTTCTCTCTGTAGTGCTGTTGTCCTGCGTAGTTTGCTCTCTTAGTCAGCTCTCACGACACCCAAGGGATCAATAGGGGTAGTGACAATCCGTATTCTTAATCCGTCACCATGTGATTTGTGTTCGTTATGTTAGATACTATACTAATAAGACATTATCACGGTCATAATCAATTGCTTCCTTTCCTTTCAGGTGAGCTCCGTCTCGGCACTGACGAGTCCATCTTCAACGCAGTACTATGCTCAAGGTCATTCCCACAGCTGATGGCGATATTCCAGGAGTACCACTTCTTGACTGGACATGACATCGATGACGCCATTAAAGCCGAGTTCTCGGGTGACCTTGAGAAGGCGCTTAGAGCTATTGGTAAGAAAATTTTCAATTATATCTTAAGCAAATAGACATTATATTTAGGCAATTGAATTAAAAAGCTGTAGTGACATCGAACTTAAAATGCGTTATAGTATTTACAAACTTAGTGGGATGAGTAGCCTTTAAACATTGCTTTAAGAATTCAAACGGCGGGTACTCAAATAAATTTTATTTCTGAATAAAAAAATATCTTAGTAATGTTTGAATTTGTAACCCAAGCACACGAAAATAGTTTTCGGACTTAAATAATCCCTGATTAAAGTGTCAAAGCAAGAATGACATCAGTGTACTAACACAATGTAAAATAAAAAATCCTAATCCTGCTCATTTTTTGCATGTCTTGCTCGCAATCTTCCTCCTCCTTGTGTCGTTATTTTCAATCTGAGGGTCGTGACCCCTATTTGTAGCCATTCTGCGAGTAATCGCCCACCGTTCCTGTCTTGAGACTCCTCAGGGCAGCATGGAACGTAGTGCCGAGAGTAGAACAAACTTGGTCTGACCAGCGCAACGGGCTACGGCGCGAAGTCTTAGCTACTTCGTTTAATCATTCTGTAATTGATTAACTCGGCTTAAAAATGTTGGTTTATTATCCTATCTTATGTAGGTTTATTATAGCATAAATTAGATGGATAAATGTAATTTTAATCATCTTGAAAGTCTCACTATTTAACACTTTTGTTTAGTAAAAATCGTGCGCAACAAGCCTCTGTTCTTCGCTGAACGTCTGCATAAGTCGATGAAGGGTCTCGGCACCAATGACCGCCAACTCATTCGCGTCATGGTCACGCGATGCGAGATTGACCTCGGCGATATATCCGACATGTTCCAGAGCAAATATGGCGAGTCCCTGCAGAGCTGGATTGAGGTAAACGTACAATCTGAAACTAAATATTGTGATTTGGAAAAGTTTCGAAATAAAACCAGATCTACACAGTGGCGATGTCGATCGTGTCACTCACGCATTGTGGATGGATATAATTTGACTTGGCATATCTTAGACACGGCCATCTGATCCCAAACTATGCAGGGCCAGTACTATGGTAGCCAGACTACTGATAAACATGCTTATATAGTTTTAAATACATGCATTTATTGATAAATCACACCCAGACACAACAAATGATCATCACACAATTATTTGTCCTGGGTGGGAATCGAACCCACAACCTCTGGCTTAACAGTCAGGGTCACTAGCCATTAGACCAATAGGCATGTCGAACCTTTAGAGCCGAAGAAGCTTTGTTAATAAAACTAAGTAGGGATAAAGTGACTCAGCAGTCAAATTTTAAAGAAATAGACTAAATTAAATTAATTAATCAAAATTAGCAGAAATTAGTTTTAAGTCTAGTTATTTTACAAAATAGCATCTATTTTTTTTTCAGGGTGATTGCTCCGGTCATTACAAGAAATGTTTGTTAGGTCTTCTCGGCCTCTACTGAGTGTAGCAACGCCAGGAAGTCTTTAAAGTACATCTAGATTTGTCTCGTGCGTTTAATTCTTAGTATTATTTGGCTTCAATGTCATTTGAATCATACAATTTTATATAAAGTCCTGTACTGTTTTGATCGCTTTTAATGGAGTATTTATGTATGTATTGCAACCGTATGATAGTAGGAGTTTCTAGATGCGTCTATTCAATAAAAAAAATCAAAATTAATACGAAATTTCTTGTGGCCCGACTATAACATATCGCCACGAAACATATAAAAAAATCAATATCAATCATATTCATACATCTTATATATGATACTAGGTGTCTTATAGTAGTATAAAAACCTTTCCTACTGAAAATTTCAGGTTTAGTACCTATAAAAAAAACGTATGAACAATTGGAGGACTCGTATTATACCGAGTGTTCCGGAGAGAGATCAACCTATACTTATGTAAGTGATGAAGATATGACTACTATAATAGACAAGTCGATTGATAAGTGACCATGGTTGTCTGCTTAAAAAAATGGTGATTTTACCTGCACTCTATCTTATACAAGTCATGCTATTTAGATATAAACGGCAATATTTAAAACGTCAGCTGAGCATCTAGAAACTGTTACTTTAAAACATATATAGAAGACATTAGTGTTGTAAGTGAAGTCTCTCACTTGCCTAAGTGAAATAATGCTATTTTTGCATTACTATTTGTTCAATTTTCGGAACTAAACGATATTTTCGTATTTTTTCTTTTAGTCGAATATTTAAATTATAAAACCGTCCCGCTTGATCTGAATTTGGCAAATCTCAATATATTACTTTAATTAATACTATGTTTTATAAATAATATATTATGATTCTGAGTAAAACTCGAATATAAATGTATGTTATACAATATTTTGGTGAAATATAGTGGCTTGAGCTCGGGCTTATAATGTTTTAAACAGATCAACAGGAAAAATAATGATAAAACCCTACTCACAAAAGCTGTTTAAACGAATTGTGCCTAAAGCATTTTATTATTGATAATTATTCAAATATGCCCCTAAATTATACAATTGCTCTTATTGAGTAAACAATTTGATATGCATTTTGTAATGTCTTCTAATAAGTATTATTATGATGAGATTTTTACATACGGCTTGGATGAGTAGTTTCGCGCGTTATATTAAATATTGTTAACAAAGAGTTTAACTGACTTTTAAAGTACACTTTATTCAAATATTCAGAATTTTGAGCTTTTATTATGTAAATCATAACTATTGTTTTTAAATATGAAATTTTCATCTTACTGAGGCAAGGCTTTGGTAGCTTCAGTTCCGTATTCAGGTTGATTCTGATATTTTTTTAATCTAAACAATTTTTTTAATAAAATATTGAAAGAGAGATATTACAGAGGCTAGTTGATATAATAACGTTATGTTAGCATTTGATTCAATAATTTTATATTCAGTCTATAATTTTGTATTGTATCGTGTTTGAATCATGATTAATTTGTTGAATGGTTTTTTCACATGGTAGTTTTTTTATTTCGAATGACATATTTAATATTTAAATGAATTTAACTTTCAACAGAGCAATGGCTAGAATTTATTTGTAAAAATCTGTATCTCTTATCAAGCTCAACTCAGAAAGATAGTGAGTACATTTTGCTGCCAACGATCACATTTTAGAGATGTTATTTTAAGTAAAGGTAAAAGCAACTCGCCTCATATGCAGAGCTTTTAGATACTATTGTAAGTTACATCAATATTAGCTACCTGGAAAAGAATAAAATTCGAATAAGCTAATATTAACGCAGGCTGCTGACGTCAAAAGTCGTAGCTCTGGGATTGATTAACAAATAAACTTCTTGCAGATGTTAATGTACTGAACCATATTATATGAGGCACATATTTGTTGCTCGTGAATAATTTACTCATTACTGTTAATTGACACTCGCTCTCCCACCTACCCAGTGTATACAATATAGGTAGATACACCTCTAAGTTTTATTATAAGACCTTACACACATATTTAGCTTATGTCAAAATCACAACTTTGTCATTCGTACATTATTATCTTCTTATTCTAAGCTATTATAGACAAATAAAAATAATGGTAGTTGCAGCTTTGGTCATTCTTTTACATTTAACTCGCTATGTGCAATTTTATTTCAAATTATTAGCTACCATTTGGAATTATAATATTTATTTTTGTGTATGTGTCTAGCACATAGAGATAATATATGAATAGAGCACGCAAGGGAAGCCTCACCGTGTCTCACGGTACGAGAGAGCGTTGCAACGCAGAAACGTGACGTGCAGTGAGAGAGAGATAGAGAGGGCCTCTGCGTGCAGCGATCTCTCACACACCTTGGGACGCCTCAAAGCATTGGGTTAGGTGGGATTGGCGTGCTCTATTCTTATATTATCTCTAATGTCTAGCATAAAAGTCATCTTGGATCGTGTCAATGTCAGTTTACGAAGAATGTTGTGCCTAAATGTCTACTTGATACCTATTTCTTACATTATAGTAAGTGTCGCAGTGTGGTGCCTATTTCTGACGTGCCTACATTGTGTGTAACTTTACCTCAGCCTATACGTCTATATACCTTATTGTACACTTAATGATTAATATATTGAATAAATGGTATGTAAGTTATAAGATTTGTTTTATTTTTTAAGTTTATCGTCTTCTGTTATCATAATTAACATTAACACAATGTTTAAGAAAATTGCTTAACACTAATAAAAATATTTACATATGATAAACAGTACACTCAGATAATCCGTGTGGTGAAGGATATAAAAAAAATATGGAGTGTCATCACCCTATTTATCCCATGAGCGTCGTAAAAGCCGACTAAGAGAGCAAACTACGCAGGACAAGAGCACTACAAAGAGAAGGAAAACTTGACCCAAAACCCATACCATCCTTTCTGGTCAGCATTTTTTAACAATGAAAAAATCTATGCCTAACATTCACATACACAATATATACAACTAGCTGTTGCCCGCGACTTCGTCCGCGTCAATTTGTTTTGTTTGACTGCACGGATGGCGTAGTGGTTTAAGCGGCCACGCCGCTTCCTACTACGCCGAGTGTTGTGGGTTCAAACCCCACATGGGACGACACTTTGTGTGATCCACAAATTGTTGTTCTGAGTCTGGGTGTTCTTTGTGTCCGTTTCATGTATGTTTGTAAAGTCCCCCGCGACACAGGATTTATTCCTAATGCGGGAGTTGTCTTTTTTAAAAAAAAAAAAAAAAAAACTGCTTTTATGATCGCGATTAAGAAGTTTTTAAAAGAATATATTTTAAAGTACTTCTGCGTAAATGACATTTTTAGTTTTATTTTCTTGTGGCAGAAGAACATACTGATTTTCTCCGCAACCCGATCTTGACAACGCTACATATAGTTGGCCGTGTGAAAAGCAGTCTTGACGTAAATCGATTCCTACGTGTTTAAATGTTTGCCCCTGTGATTTATTAATTGTTACAGCAAAAGATAACTTAACGGGAAATTGAATCCTTTTAAAATTAAAAGGTAAATCATTTGGAATCATTGGGATGCGAGGTATAAGCACTGTTTGACCTACTGCTGGACCAGTCAAAACTATTGCAACGATCACATTGTTGCGAAGAAATTTGACTTGAAGTCGGGTCCCGTTACATAAATTTGGTGGTTTAAGATTTCTAAGTAAAATTATTGGGGCACCTATTTTTAACTTGAGTGAATGTGGGGGAAGGCCACTCGGGTTTAAAGAATTAAGAAACTCCTGTGGGTAATGGACCGCATCTTCTTGATCCATTACATTATCAATAGATGTGTAGGTAACTTTATCTCCTGGAAGTTTAGTTAAAATTAGCTCGTTAATTTCGTCAACGCTACTGTTTCTCGCCGCCAATATTGCCCTTTGACACATCCATGGATAATCTTTGTTTTCTATTTCGACGATATCAGGGTAAACTTTCGATATTAAATCCTCAATGCTAGTCACTCTTTCTCCTAAATCGCGATCAATTTCAATTTTATTTTCAAAATGAGGTACTTTCCCGTCTCCTATTAAAAGTAGCTTTGAAGGAAAATTTGTACTACCTCCCCCCAAATGTGCTCTCATATTCGTAGATAGTTTTAAGGTATGAACAAACTTCCATAATGGGGAACTTTTAAGGCAAGACTTTATAATGTCTGCTCTAGTTCCCCTTACTATTACCGGTAAAGTTTGACGAAAATCCCCAGCAAACATAACAGTAATCCCACCCATGATTTTATCACAGCTTCTAATATCTCTAAGAGTCCTATCTAGAGCCTCTACATGAGCTCTATGGATCATGGTACATTCGTCCCAGATTATTAAAGTGACGTCTTGCAAAACTTTTCCCAAAGGGCCATTTTTGCGAATAGAGCACACGCTATCTTTCTGTAAAGAAACAGTTAGAGGCAGTTTAAAAGTGGAATGAGCTGTGCGTCCACCTGCTAATAAAGTTGCAGCGATCCCTGACGACGCTACTGCTAAAGCTAGTTTTCCCTGAGACCTTACTTTTGCTAATATCAGATTAGTAATGAAAGTCTTGCCAGTTCCACCTGAAGCATCCAAAAAAAAAATTTTTCCTTCATTAAAAAGAACACTGTGCATAACACGATTGTACGCCGTCACCTGGGTATTAACTAATTTTGGTTCATTTTCAGTAATATACTCATTTAATTCATTTACATCATACGGCTTTCGCAACGCTACTTCTAACGGATCCAAATTATTATGTGAATTATTCCTTTTTGATGCAGGAAGCCCAAAATCAGTTAATGATTTATCGCAAATCTCATGAATCTTATCTTCAATTATGATAAGTCCATCATTGTATATATCATCACTATATGCTAATGTCATATCCTGATTCTCATTACGCATTCTGTTTAATATATCTTCACATAAATCATTTCGAAATTTATTCCATAACTCTAAGGGGTCAGATGGCTGGCAAAATATGAGAATGATGGTAAATAATTCTCTTAATTTTGTGGCT